CAACCAGCCTATCTGATTGATTCGATCCTACCGATGGCCCAGGATCATTCGAGCGCGGCGGAGAAACTCTCGAAGATGGAGGCTGGGACGGGTGCTTTGGACCCAAGGACAGGGGGTAGAAGTTAAGGGTCCAGGCCCGCCGTTCCTACCATCAAGCGCCACTAGATTTTGCACTAAGTTTGGCTTGGGGCAGTGGTTGGATAGTGGAAGCCCTCTTGGATCTGTGCAATGGTTTCGTGCAATGGTTTCGTTTTCCGGGGTTGTCTGCGAAACAGAGACCCGCCGGAAGTTCGACAGCGTCCTTGGTCAGGAGCTGGCTACCACTTGGCTAAGTCTCGGACCATCTCAGAAAGGAGCAAACCTTCGCGTAGTGAACCTCGGAAGTCACCCTTGACCAATTTTCCGACAAATTAATATGCCGGATACGGTCAGAATGAACTCGAACAATGAAACAAGATTCTCCCCCCAAATGAAGCAAGATCAGAATGAAATCCCCCTTTGCCTCCAGCGGTGCCCTTTTGTTTAGTGTTTGCTGGGCTTCCTTCAAAGTGTTTCTTGAGCAAGTGAGTTAACTTGCGCAAGTAAAGGCCTTTGAGCTTGCCAAGGCACCCGTTCGAAACGGAGCTGAGCCAACAATGCTTCCGAAGAAAAAAGCCGACAGAGGCGCTGAGGAATGAGGAGTTTCGTACTTGAAGAAGGGAATCCATCAAATTCTGTACCCGCTCACCGGTCGGGATAAGCGGGGTAAGCGAGTACAATGATGAATCGCTCTACTCGTGGACTCCTCACTTCCGGTTTGTGACTGCAGTAATTTGCCCAGAACCCCATTAATTGCTCACTGGTTTTTACCTTCTATGCTTTTTTTTTGGGTGGCTTCCCGTTCAACATGGAGAACACCTCCCCCAAGAAAGGTTTTCCAATTGCACTATTTTGCCGGCATCGGATCTAAATCTTTTGATGTGAGACTTGAGACTCGGTCCCATTCTTATTTGCAAACGCCATCTGAGCTACTCTTAATTCCCAAAACGACGGCAGGGCTGGCTCTTGGTGTGTCCTTAGTCCCCGAGACCTAAATGGCTTTAACATTACACCTACAACCAATTCGACCTTTTGCTCGGGAAAAGCTCCAACCCGGAACACCCAGACACCTCGGCCGAGTGGGGCATTCGACTCACCGATCCGTCGCTCCGATTTCGACTCACCGACCCGCAGGCCTTTTTGCAGGGCGCTGTTGAGGATGGCCTGCCCAGGACCTCGAAACCGGATGCCGGGTGGTTTGCTGAGGGTTCCCCTTGGGTGGTTTTGGGGGGCGCCGATGCCTAGGACTCCCCGGGCGTCCAGGGCCTCCAGAGGTTCCAGGTGCTGGGCCGGCTTGGGGAGCATGGGTCCTTTGTTTCCCTTTGTGGAACCTCCATAGTGGGCAGTGGCGATTGGTTAATGGACACCACCAGTCAATTGATCAACTTTTTAAGAAAAACAGATCCACTGACTCCTGTCAAACAGTTGGGAGAAGCCGCGTGACAAAGACAAAGACATGTTGCTGGTGATGTTGCTGCCCGGGTTGGCCTGAGACTAAGTCTGGGATATGTGTTGTTCACCCCTCAAGGGTCCGCAACTCACATGGCTTTTCCGAAGTCGTCGAGGCGCCGCAAGCTCAAGAAGCATCGTCGTGCCGGCTCCGCGGACACCGGCGGCACCGGCGGCGCCTCCGCCCCCAGCGGCTTGAGTGCCGGGAGCGGCGGCAGCGGCGCCAGCGGCGCCAGCGGCGCCAGTGGTGTCAGTGGCGGAACCTTGCCACCCGTATTCGGGAACCTCTTAGTTGGCGGTTTCGATTGGTGATTTAGATTTGGATTTGAACCCTTGGTTCTTGTACAGGGTAAATGGGAAGCCCCTCCTTAACCACCAAACCACCGATTGAAAGGGAAGCTGATGAATATTCTGTAGTTGGGCACAACACATACATATAGTCTGGTTTGGTTGCTGGTTTGATTTCACTTGTTGTTGCTTGGTTGTTTCTCTCGCTTGCTTAAACAAATTGCTCTTTACCTTTTCCTCGGGGCTTGGCCCTTAGTTGGTCTGTCTCTAGGGGGCATCAAGGTCAGCAAAGGCGGCGTGTGTTTGTTTCCAGCAGCCGGGCCAAGGGCCCGCTTGAAAGGAAACCAATGGCGGATGTTTACACTCCCCCTCTGTTTTTGGTCGACTTTTCTTGCTTGGCTGTTCTTGCATGTGCCCGCGCTGCCATGTGTGAGGTATGTGTTTTTCCTTTGACCTTGTATCGCCACTTTCTGTGTTGCCTTTTGTTGCCCGTTTTTGCCCTCCTTCTTGGCAGCTTACCTTGTGCGGGCCCTGGGAATGGTTTGCGCTTTGTGCTTTTCCATTTAGTCTCCGCTTCTGCGGTCAAGACATGACGGTGGCTGAGGGGTGGACTGATAATTGTTTCAATTGCTTTTTCGAACTCGGGCATGTTGATTACAGTCACTCAGTGGAGCCTTTTGTCCCGTCAATGGGTTCCCATCGCTGGTACAGCTGAGACCGTCCCATTTTGTTGGAAGTCTGTTTGGGGTCACTCAGCTTTGGTTATGTTAACCATGCCCCCCTTGGGTTTCCTTCCTCCAAATGTCTGGGAGTGGTACCCTTCTGAAAAGGGGAGAGGGACCCTTATAAACAAGCTGTTGTGATGGCAAATGAGGAAGCGCTGGCAGCAACGCGAGCAGCGCCGTGAGTGATGCTGATGCAACCCTAGGCGCTCCGCAGCAGCAAAGGCAACTGGACGCCTAGAGGCCCCCCCCCCCCACTTGCCAAAGGATCGCACCACTGCGAATGGACAAGAAGGTCAGCGTTGTCAGAATTCAATGCTCTGGCTGAAGTATCCTCCCCTGCAAAGTGACGTGAAATCTAAACAGAAGGTTCCCCAAGAGGAGGCTCCTCTAACAATGATGGGTTTCGGGGTTCTATGTTCAGTTGCAGGGGAGTGGTCATTTACCATGCCTAGAAGGACACCCCTAGGTCAGCGAGTGCACTGAAGTCAGATCCCATGAACCTGTTCATTGTGATTGGTTGTCACCCGTTACAATGTCCAAGCCGGATACTTAGAAACCGAAAGATGCACAGGAGGTCAACACAAAGCTGGTCTGGGGGGGTTGGAAGCACCAGATTGCCTTTCGAGTGGGGCAGCCTTTTCCTGTTGGAAAGGGACAGACGGCCTCCAGAAGATGGTATTCTTCCGGGCGCAGAACTTGGGTCGCGGAGAATTCGGCTTGCATGGCTTGCATGGTGAATTCAGGGAACTACTTGACTTGGTTTCCTCAGCTTCGATACGCGCCCCAGATGTATTTATATTTATATTTGCATATATATATATACATATGCATACTTGTGTTTCCATACGCCCCATATGCCGTTCATATGACTCATATGCATCTAAGAAACATGGGTTGGTACTTTCAGCCTAAATGGTTGGGGCACGGAACCCGGCGTGCAGAGTCACTTCCCTGAGTGAATTTATGTTTTGCCGCGGGATGGCAAAGCTAGGGACGGCTTGTGCGCTTTGTGAAGTTTTTTTTGTGTGTGTGTGTTTTTTCCTGAAAGTGTCCCGGGTTTTGACCAATGCCCACTGGCACACCACTGCATGGTTTTTGTGCGGGGGCCCACGCTGACCAAAGACTCCCCCAATGTCAAGGCCTCGAGCTCACTTGGGTATAACGAGCTCACCATGGTAAAGGCCCCTTGCTTGGGGATCCCATTCTTGCTTCAGGTTTTAGAATCAGAGCCAAATTTCGGTTGACTTTGGGATTGCCTACAGTGAAGCCATGGCATTTGCGGGGAGTCTCGAGGGCTGGGTCCCTGATTTTGGTTTCCAGCTCGGGGCCATCGGCCACGAGCCTGGCTCTGGCAGTCATTTTGAGGAGGATGCCATGCATTCCGCTCCAGAAACTGTCAGTAGGCCTCGGATCAGTATACAATCACAAGTAGTTGTCCCTATTTGCGTTGTCAAAAGCCAAAACATGTTTTTTTCAACTTAGATTCATGCTATTTTCTTTGGTTTGTGGTGGCTGCGGTCCGCAAGGACGGTTTTGACAGAACTCAAGTAATTAGAGTGTTTGGTCATAAAGATCGGTCCCTAGCTTCTGGACTTTGAACTTCTGAAATGTTGATACATCAGGTTAGTGACAAGGACAAGGAAGCAGTTCTCTTGGAGGATCCACTATGGAAGTGAGAGAAGCTGGTAACTTCCACAAAAGTCAGCAAATTTTACGGAAGGCAACCACTTAGAAGCGAGCAATGAATGGTTTCACGAAAACGCTCCTGAAAGGGAAAGCGGGGGCCTAACTCAAACAGGCGGATGTCTTAGGAACTCGTTCTTGCTCTTTCAGGTCCATGATTTGAAACTTTTTTTCGGATCTTTTGGGGAAACACGTGGGGGTCCAAAAGTGAGGAAGCGTGCTTGCTGTTTCTCCGGTGCTGTTTCTCCGGACTTGGGAGCAACATCGCGAGGGCCCTTCTGCCGGGCTCTCAGCTCGCCGAAAAGAAGAGAAGACTCGCTTGTTTTTCAGGGGCGTGAGAAGGGCCAAGCAGACTATGTGAATGGAGGGTCAAAACGTCAGGACTTGTCACGTGGTCACTAATCCGAGGACCTTGGCTCTTGCAGCGAGCGCTGCAACTCATTCTGCGACGCGCCATCGCGCGAGACAAAACAGTTGGCCGGCTCGGCGAGGTCGGGAAAACAGGGATCCCCATTCTGGGCCATGTTTTTGCGCGCATCCGTTTTTTCGGGCATCCGTTTATGGGTCGTTTGAAGGGATATGTTGTCTCTATTGACCCCCTCCCTATTTTGATCGTGGAGGGGGCATGAGGGGGCCCTTTACAAATCACTCCCCCACATTACGGGACCTCATGAAACTGTTGGCTTGAAACCGACCAAAAAAGGGGGCTTGCCCAAAAAAGAACCTTTGACTGACGCGGTTGAAAAGACAAGAATCCAGGCGGCAGCATTTTGCCAGGCCGACGCCGAGGCCGCAGACGCCTTGCTGGCGCACGCAGTGCGCCGCCAGCTGAAGGACGTCTACGAGCAGGCGGCAAGGAATGAAGGGAACCATGACGAATCAGGTACCCTCCCACATGGAAGACCCAATGAAGCAGGACCACCGCCATGGCCTTTTTCAGCTTCCCAAAGCACTCGCTCAAATGGCCATTTTGGGGTTGGCTTTTGGGTGTGTGTTATTTTTGGGAGGCGGTTGTGTCAAAAGGATGAAGCTAAAGGACAAGGCTTTTGTCATTTGTGGGACAACTAAAGAACATACTATCATTTTGCCCCCCCCCCATTTTGACACACAGCAGCATGTGTCAATGTTGATTGGCAACTGGCCCTTAACGACTTGTTAGGGGCTTAGCCTGTGCTTGTCCTAGGCTCAGGGATAGCCCTCCCGGCTCCATAGCCTTTCCTGGAGTTTTGAAGCACGAAGTGCCGCGGCCAGAGACTGGTGAGAGAAAGGCCTGGACTTGTTCTGACAAGTCCATTCTAGAAAAGAGACTCACTCCCTGAGTTCCTGGACTTGTACATTTGTTGGGAAGACGGTTTTAGCGATGAGCCAACAGTTCAGACTTTTTGTTGGCCCAAAAGACATTCAGAAAGTGAGCAGAAGGCGAACCAAGGATAGCAGTCATTTCCGCCCCAAGGATAACTTGGCAAGTCACTTGACGCAAGCTGCGCGGGTGCAGCGTGAGCGAATGAGGCGGCCGCCGCGGCTTTTGCGAGGGCGTCGGAGGAGGGCTGTGGTGGGGGGGGGGGGCGGGGGGGCTATCATCTCTTAACCCCTTAATGCGGCCTGAAATTGGGCCTATCCTTAGCTTTTCCTCTTGCCCAGGGATTTCTCCCCGCACTGGTGTCTGTTTGGTCCCAATCCTTGACCAGTGCCAAATGTCTAAGGCCAGAGAACCGTTTCTGTTCAATAGTCAGGATCCTAGGAGAATCAGTGGCTAATGCTCCACCGGCGCTGCATATTATTGATGGATTCTGCCTGTGTTGCGGCGAGATCACCGGTCAGAGTCGCACGTGCTCACGTATGATGACTTCCTTTCTGGGGAGGTTTCTCAGTGCATGCATGGCTATATTTTGCTGTCATGATACATTTCATGCATGGCCTTTTTTTTCTGTCATGATACACTTGGCAGATTGCCTGGATGTTGTTTACCAGTACTATCTACTTGTTGTTCCTTATGTCAAGCGGGTTCTCGGTGGCAGCCTGTGGATGCAGATGTGCAGGTAGGTACTGTAGTTGTGCATATGGCCAATCGTTTGGGCCCCCTTTTCTCCGCAGAATGGTTGATCGAACTATAAGACCCCCTTCTAAGAAGGTTCGAAGAACCTTTTCGGGGTTGGACCTTGGGTTTCCTCCCTGCGTTGTCTCAAGCCGCGAAAGAGGACCACAACCAAATGGTATTGATTTCGCATGACTTCCTTTGGCTTCCCCTTCCCTGATGCCATTGTCCGAAATGCCCGCGAACCCAACAAGTAGATGTACTCTTTTCTTAGCCGGCACAATCTATAGCAACTGATTCTGTTGGGGTGTGTCCATTTGGGGTACGTTAAAAAAGAAAAAGCTTTGGAACTTCGCAGCATCAATCAATGCACGTCGTGACGCGCAGCCACGATCAAAACCCGGGTAGATGAAGATTAGTACAGTAAAGATAATCCCGACCATAAAAGGGATTCCTTACCTAGTTCTGTGTAGACCATGTTAATACGTGGGTTTTGATTCTGGCTCATGTATAGCAAGTTGAAGCCCGGGCACTCCGCACCCCCCCCAAGCAAATGATTGAGAAGTCTCCTTCAGGCAGTTTGGTGTTCCATGTTACCCTGGCCCTGGGGCGCGACATGAGCCCGGATTAAGACCCAATTGAAAACACACATGTCACAAAGATACCCTCCAAGAAAAGTCTGCGCAGCTGTTGACAACGCGTAGGGCAGAACCTCAAGCACTTTGGCAGTAGCCTATCCGCAAGCCTGAGAGCACGACTACGGCGACCTTTGTTCATTTTTCTTGGGACGGGGGTTCTCTTTTCAAATTTGACATCTAAAACCCAAAGTTCAGAAAGTGCCAGTTTTAGCCATGGCTGGGCTGAGCATGTTGCATTCCAGAGGGGCTCGGGGAGTGCGAGCTTTCAGGACGAAGCCGCGGCGGCAGCCCTAAAAACCGCGGCGGAGGCAGGCTACACTTTGGATCTTCAACGTTTGGGGTGGGGTCGGGGGTGGGGTGCGGGAGGGCAGGGGGTTCTGGAGCCTTAAAGGGAGTTCACCCGGAAAGGCTTTGTAGGCTTTGTTGATTTGGACGATCCCGTGGGATCCTAAGGGGTCGGCGGCGCCCCAAGCACTCCGCAGATTAGCTAGAAACCCTCAAACAAATGATTGAGGAGTCTTCTTGGGGCAGTTTGGCGTTCCATGTTTCCCTGCGACGTGAGCATTAACGCGCGCATTCACACTTACGAGCGTTTTAGGGAGATAAATCTCACTATGTCAAGGTTGGGCCAGTTGGATGGGACAGGATGGCACCCTCAAATCAAGCAGCACCTATCCCCAACAACGTACGTGGTGTGCACTGCTTGGGTTACCTGCCATGAGCGGCCCGGATTAAGACCCAATTGAAAACACACACGTCACAAAGATACACTCCAAGAAAAGTCTGCGCAGCTGTTGACAAAGCGTAGGGCAGAACCTCTAGCACTTTGGCAGTAGCCTAACTGCAAGCCTGAGAGTAAGACTACGGCGACCTTTGTTCCTTTTTCTTGGGACGGGAGTTCTCTTTTCAAACTGGTTTTTAGAATCTTTACAGAGATGAACGCGCCCTTTGTTGAATCATCACTTCTTCGATCATGATGGGCGGGGGCTGCCCCCCCACCCCCAGTTGACTTTTAGAATGTTTACGGAGATTAAAACCAGAAGTTCAGAAGGTGCCTGTTTTACCCACGGCTGGGCTGAGCATTTTGCATTCCAGAGGGGCTCGGGGAGTGCGAACTTTCAGGACGAAGCCGCGGCGGCAGCCCCAAAAACCGCGGCGGAGGCAGGCTACGCTTTGGATCTTCAACGTCTGGGGTGGGGTGCGGGGGGGGCGGGGGGGTCTGTAGCCTTAAAGGGAATTCACACGGCAAACCCCAATTTGGGAATTTGCCCGGTTGTTGTGCTGGGGCGGGCCATTTTGTTTGTCAGACAGGAGTGTTTAGCGTTGATAATCTCATGTGTGAGGTTGTTTCCCCCCAAATCACTTGCGACTCACGTATGGCAAGCTGAAGCTAGGGCACTCCGCAGATTAACTGGAAACCCTCAAACACATGATTGAGGAGTCTCGTTGGCGCAGTTTGGCATTCCATGTTACCCTGCGACCGTTGATGCTCACGTCGCAGCGACGTGAGTATCAACGGGCGCATTCACGTTTACGAGCGTTTCTGGGAGATAAATCTCACTATGTCAAGGTTGGGCCAGTTGGATGGGATCGGGTGGACGCTCAACCCAAGCAGCACCTATCCCCAGCGTACGTGATATGCACTGCTTGGGTTGCCTGCCATGGGCGGCCCGGATGAAGACCCAATTGAAAATACATGCGCCACAAAGATACCCTCCCCAAATAGGCTGCGCAGCTATGGAATCGCTCGGGGAAGGGTATCAGCGTACCCTTCAAAAAACTGGCACAAAGCTCGGAACAAGCACTTTGGCAGTAGCCTAACTGCAAGCCTGAGGGTAAGACTGCGGAATCCCAGTTGCCCGGGTCGACCTTTGTTCGGGGGGTCTCTTTTCAAATTTGACATCTAAAACCAGAAGTTCACAAGGTGCCTGTTTTGCCCATGGCTGGGCTGAGCGTTTTGTATTCGAGAGGGGCCCGGAAAGTCCGAACTTTCAGGATGAAGCCGCGGCGGCAGCCCTAAAAACCGCGGCGGAGGCAGGCGGTCGCTTCAACTCTTCAACGTCTAGGGTGGGGTGCGGGGGAGCGGGGGGGCGGGGGGTTCTGGAGCCTTAGAGGCAATTCACACGGAACACCCAATTTGGGATTTGTCCGGGTGCCCTTTTGGAGGTTCCACTTGAAAGCCATGAGTTGTGTTTGGGCGGGGCCATTGTTTGTCAGACAGGAGTGTTTAGCGTTGACAATCTCATGTGTGAGATCGTCCCCCCCAAATCACACAGTGACTCATGTATGTCAAGCTGAAGCTAGGGCACTGCGCAGATTAGCTAGAAACCCCCCAAACAGCGGATTGAGGAGTTTGCTTGGGGCAGTCTGGCGTTCCATGTTAACCTAAGAGATGAGCATCAACCTGCGCCTTCACGTTTACGAGCGTTTCTGGGAGGTAAATGTTACTTTGCCAAGGTTGGACCAGTCGGACGGGACCCTCAACCCAAGCAGCACCTATCCCCAGCGTACGTGATATGCACTGTTTGGGTTGCCTGCCATGGGCGGCCCGGATGAAGACCCAATTGAAAATACATGCGCCACAAAGATACCCTCCCCAAATAGGCTGCGCAGCTATGGAATCGCTCGGGGAAGGGTATCAGCGTACCCTTCAAAAAACTGGCACAAAGCTCGGAACAAGCACTTTGGCAGTAGCCTAACTGCAAGCCTGAGGGTAAGACTGCGGAATCCCAGTTGCCCGGGTCGACCTTTGTTCGGGGGGTCTCTTTTCAAATTTGACATCTAAAACCAGAAGTTCACAAGGTGCCTATTTTGCCCATGGCTGGGCTGAGCGTTTTGTATTCGAGAGGGGCCCGGGGAGTCCGAACTTTCAGGATGAAGCCGCGGCGGCAGCCCTAAAAACCGCGGCGGAGGCAGGCGGTCGCTTCAACTCTTCAACGTCTAGGGTGGGGTGCGGGGGAGCGGGGGGGCGGGGGGTTCTGGAGCCTTAGAGGCAATTCACACGGAACACCCAATTTGGGATTTGTCCGGGTGCCCTTTTGGAGGTTCCACTTGAAAGCCATGAGTTGTGTTTGGGCGGGGCCATTGTTTGTCAGACAGGAGTGTTTAGCGTTGACAATCTCATGTGTGAGATCGTCCCCCCCAAATCACACAGTGACTCATGTATGTCAAGCTGAAGCTAGGGCACTGCGCAGATTAGCTAGAAACCCCCAAACAACGGATTGAGGAGTTTGCTTGGGGCAGTCTGGCGTTCCATGTTAATCCTCGAGATGAGCATCAACCTGCGCATTCACGTTTACGAGCGTTTCTGGGAGGTAAATCTTACTTTGCCAAGGTTGGACCAGTCGGACGGGACCCTCAACCCAAGCAGCACCTATCCCCAGCGTACGTGATATGCACTGCTTGGGTTGCCTGCCATGGGCGGCCCGGATGAAGACCCAATTGAAAACACATGCGTCACAAAGATGCCCTTGCGGAAGAGTCTGCGCAGCTATGGAACCGCTTCGGGGAGGGTAAAGGCGTACCCTTCCAAAAGCAGGCGCAAAGCATGGGGCAGAACCTGAACAAGCACTTTGGCAGTAGCCGAACCGCAAGCCTGAGAGTAAGACTGCGGAATCCCAGTTGCCCGGGTCGACCTTTGTTCGGGGGGTCTCTTTTCAAATTTAGCATCTAAAACCAGAAGTTCACAAGGTGCCTGTTTTCATGGCTGGGCTGAGCAATTCATTCCAGAAAGGCTCGGGGAATGCGAGCTTTCAGGATAAAGCCGCGGCGGCAGCCCTAAAAACCGCGGCGGAGGCAGGCGGTCGCTTCAACTCTTCAACGTCTAGGGTGGGGTGCGGGGGAGCGGGGGGTCTGTAACCTGAACGGGAATTCACACGCCAAACCCCAATTTTTGGATTTTCTCGGTTCCTCTTTGGGGGTTGCCATTGAAAGTCATGAGTTGTGCTGGGGCGGGCCATTTTGTTTGTCAGATAGCATTGTTTAGCGTTGATAGTCTCTCGTGTGAGGTTGTTTCCCCCAAATCACTTGTGCCTCATGTATGGCACCTACTGTTTCCGGTACGCCCAGTGAAGCGGTTGTTGAAGGATTGAACTGGCTGCTGTCACACCTTGATATGGAATCCCGTTGTTTTCTCGTGCAGATTTATCCTTTGCAGCAGCGTGCGGGCCTCCTATTGCAGATCCTGCCCGTTCTTAGGCAAGTGTTAGGCTTGTATGAATTCATATTGCGCTTCAAGGCCACACCGCGCATCCTGAGGATCATAGGTGTGGATTGAGTCGCATGTCGTTTCTGCTTGACCATGTCAAGTTTCGACTGGGCTGAAGCCGAAAGCTGAAGCCGAAAGGATGCTGGCAAAAAATGGCAAGCTGAAGCTAGGGTCAAACAAATGATTGAGGAGTCTTCTTGGGGCAGTCTGGCGTTCCATGTTAACCTGCGACGTGAGCATCAACGGGCGCATTCACATTTACGAGCGTTTCTGGGAGATAACTAGGCCTAAGTTGGGCCAGTCGGATGGGACAGGATGGGACCCTCAACCCAAGCAGCACCTATCCCCAGCGTACGTGGTATGCGCTGCGTGGGTTGTGTGCCATGAAAGGCACGGATTAAGACCCAATTGAAAACACATGCGTCACAAAGATACCCTTTCGGAAGAGTCTGCGCAGCTATGGAACCGCTTCGGGGAGGGTAAAGGCGTACCCTTCCAAAAGCAGGCGCAAAGCATGGGGCGGAACCTCAACAAGCACTTTGGCAGTAGCCGAACCGCAAGCCTGAGAGTAAGACTACGGAATTCCAGTTGCCCAGGTCGACCGTTGTTCCTTTCTCTTGGGACTTTTTTTTTTTTTTTAATAACATCTAAAGCCATAAGTTCAGAAAGTGCCTGTTTTTGCCCATGGCTGGGCTGAGCAATTTGAATTCCAGAGGGGCTCGGGGAGTGCGAACTTTCAGGATGAAGCCGCGGCGGCAGCCCTAAAAACCGCGGCGGAGGCAGCGACCGCTTCAGATCTTCAACATCTGGGGGTGGGGTGGGGTGCGGGGGGGTGGGGTGGGGTGTGGGGGAGTGGGGTGCGGGGTGGTTTGGAGCCTTAAAGGGAATTGAAAAGGAAAAACACAATTTGGGATTTGCCCGGTTCCCTTTTGGAGGTTTCAATTGAAAGCCATGAGTTGTGCCAAATTGCACGAGCTCAGGGGGGGAGCCTATTCCAAATCAAGAAGTGTTTCACGCGACTCGCGGACTGGTTTGAACACTTCCTGAAGCGCCTTTTCCGGATCAAGGACCATGCAACTGCGACCATGAGACTCACTGATTCCTCCGAGGCAAACTGCAACAGAAATAAGATGCCACATGACACATGATGCCAGCAGCAGCACCAACGCCACCAACACCACCAACACCACCAACACCACCAACACCACCAACACCACCATCACCACCAACACCACCAACACCACCAACACCAGCAACACCAGCAACACCACCAACACCACCATCACCACCAACACCACCAACACCACCAACACCACCAACACCACCATCACCACCAACACCACCAACACCACCAACACCACCAACACCAGCAACACCACCAACACACCAAGCTAAATCCTTGCACGGAGCACAGCTTTCACAAGCAGACGCATGGAGGCGCTCACTGCCTTGCAAAGACGGCCGCGGACGGCGGCGCGCGACCGTGGCGGATGGGGCTACCAGCTCTACGCACTTCTGGAGGCGTTGCGGCTTGGCCAGACTGGGGGATTTGGATGGAACCCAGCTGCTCTATCAGTTTCCTAGCAGGAAGCATCAGAAGGCTTTGGACACACCTACGCTCTTCCCCCCCTACTCTTGGGTAACCTCGCCATTTGGATACATGTTGACCCCAAGCAATGTTTTGGGATTTGGTATGTTCCTTTTTTAAAACTACTTCTGGCTTCACTGGCTTCTGGAGGCGTGAGGCGTGAGGCGTTGCTACCTTGCGGCTTGGCCAGACTGGGGGGCCCAGCGGACATGAGTTAGGACTGTGGCTGAATATGTTTCGCAATGTTGATGATGGAAATGGTCCACAATGGCGGCCATTGTTCAAGAGCTATTGTCCAATGAATGGCCTGGTCTTGGGTCACGCCTGGCCTTGGGTCATGCTTGCCCAAGTCGCTTTAACGGCGACGGAATGACTCAACTATTCAGCGGCCCAAACGAATCAACTGGGGAGTCCGAAATGAGGCTGCTGGCCCGCTTGCTTCACAATGCTGAGCGCCTGCCAGAAGTTTTGCGCAGAGCCGCCAGCTTCATCTACGGGCCGGAGGTGGCAGCGCAGGTGGAGCGAGATTTGGCGAACCGGGAGATCATGGTGCCATCAGCGTCAACTCTGAGCAGGATGCGCTTGAAGCTTGCCCCTAGGCAGGCAATGAGCGCTAGCATTGCCGCACATTTGTCAAAGTGTGCCAGAGCGAGTTTTATGTCCCTACCCCCCGGACCCCCTCTCACACCTCACACCTTAGCACCCTCCCGGACCCATCCCGGACCCCGGGCCGGGCCCCCTGACCCCTCATGTTTGTATTTCTGCATTTTGTCTCTGCGCCTGTGTGTTTGCGTGTTTGTGTGTGTGTGGTGCGTGTGTGGTTGTCATAGATGAGACAGACACAGACGAACGGTTTCAAACATGAAGAGAATGAGAGATGAACAAGATAGGGCAGTTATAAATGACAGACACACAATTCCGGTAATGAAAAGGATTAATATCAAAGCCTTAGCAATGCTTTGGGGAACCTGCAAGCAGCAAGACATATTAAATTACAATGACAAGCCGGGAGTGTACATGAGGATGAGGATGAACATGCAAATAATCGGTACCAAATATTTTTAGCAGAAACAAACACACACAGACACAGACACACACACGCACACACACACACACACACACACACACACACACACACACACACACACACAACACACACACACACACACACACACACACACACATACACACACACACACACACACACACACACACACACACACACACACACACACACACACACACACAACGCACGCACGCATGCACTGCACGCGCACGCACGCACGCACGCACGCATGCATGCACGCACGCACGCACGCACGCACGCACACGCACGCACGCACGCACGCACGCACACGCACACATGCACGCACGCACACACGCACGCACGCACCACACACACACACACACACACACACACACACACACACACACACACACACACACACACACACACACACACACACACACACACACACACACACACACACACACACACACGCAAGCACGGACGCACGCACGGACGCACGCACGCACGCACGCACGCACGCACGCAACCACGCACCCAGGCACCCACGCACGCACGCACGCACGCACGCCTACGCACGCACGCACGCCTACGCACGCACGCACGCGTACGCACGCACGCACGCACGCACGCACGCACGCATGCGCCCACAAACTTGATTTTGAGGCAGTACAACGCTCTCCGTGCGGAGCTCTTGGTCAACTTGCGCAGAGTAGCTTGCACAGAGTCACCAGCATGGAGATACCAGCATGGAGATACTCGCGCAGAGTTACTAGCACAGAGTAGCTTGCACAGAGCTACCAGCATGGAGATACTTGCACAGAGTCACCAGCATGGAGATGCCAGCATGGAGATACTTGCACAGAGTCACCAGCATGGAGTCACCAGCATAGAGTACTTGCGCAGAGCCAAGTGCAAAGAGCCAAGCGCATGGAGCCAAGTGCTCAGAGCGAAGTGCAAAGAGCGAGGTGCAAGGAGCCAAGTGCACAGAGCTAAGTGCTAGCCCGCCTCATCAGGAACGCCAGCAGCTGGCAGAGGTACTGAACGTCAAGTCGTTTTCTGTGGTGGCGTCCGACATCATAATTCACGATGGGATTTTGCCACTCCTGATATATGGTGAATGCCACGCCTCGCGCCTAGGCAGACTCACTAGAGGATGTGGCGTCCCAATCCGCATCACGAGCGCTGCTCGGGCGTCTTCGTTGGCTCTCGTCCCACGCAGGCTCCAAGAGCCCCCTGCGTTGGAAAAGTCGCAGCCGTTCAAGCGGGGGAGGCCAAAAGGACATTGCGTCACGCGAAGTTGCTGATCAGGCTGGATATCACGAGTTAACAGAGAGCGCCCCCTGCTGAAGAAACAAGTTGTCGTCCCTGGGTAGACAGGGACTCGGCACACTCACGCACACACACAGAATTGACCGGGCATCAGTGAGACACTTATAGCACATGTGCTATCTCCAAACGAGGGACCGTGCTGCCAAATCGGAAAAAAGCAACCTGAGCGCGCCCAGGACGCCATCCTCATGGCTATGCGGCAAAGGCAGTGGCAGGAAGATCCGCCTGTGTTTGTGATGATATCCACAGATAGTTCGCCGCAGGGGGGCTTGGACTACATCATGTCGATTGAAGACCGGGTTACCCGCGCTGCAGCGGCAGACCTTGTGGCAGCCGCGGATGATGAAGGGCGCCTCGATGAATGGCATGCTGAGGATCGAGTCTTCACTTCGCAGTTGCCCTTGGCCATCTCTGGATCTGGCAACTCGGGGCTTTCTGGGAAGTATGAAGCTCTGTTCCACTCTGTCAAGCTCGACATCGGGAACAAGCCGAGCGATCTGCAGCGCTACTCTATGGGGTCATGCGTTAGCTTCACCTCAGACTATGGCACGGAGAGCTTGTTCACGGAGGTGCCACCTCTTTGTGTGGAGGACTTGCTAGCAACAGCGCGCCTCCATTCTGGAAATGTGCTTGCAACTCCGCCGACGCCAGCGCGGCCTTCAGCCGGCAGCGTTCGCCTTTGCCTGCCGGATGATGATGATGATGGTGCGCCAGGCCTGCCTGGACCTGGGCCTGGGCGATGTGAGCCTGAGCCGGAGCGACACTTCTTCGCTAATGCTCCCTGGCCTAAAGCACGTCTTTGACAATGTCAGCGGAGACGTTCTTGGCTGGATGCGGGGCTTCCGGGACTGGCAGGAAAAGCTGCAGTCCTTGAACATGCTCCTCTACCAGAAGTACTACAGGGACCGCGTCAAGGTGCTCTTTGACAGGGACCCGGTTTGGAAGCGCCTCTTCACGCACTATGAAGGCGGTAACCTCATCCTTTGGAGGTGGGGGAGCCTTGTTGAAGTCTGCGAGGCCATCCAGAAGAGGGAGGGAGCCTTGAAGGCAAGATGGAGCCTGAGCAGTTTCCTGCGCGTCGGCCACAACCTGCCCGCTGAGGATGACGAGGAGGGACCAGCTCCCTTCGCGAGGGCAACCGCCACTGCCAACTTCAACCTCGCAGATGAGGCCATCAGGTCTCCGTACTTCTGGTGCTACTTGAGGATGATCTTGCTTGTCCACGGCATGATCAATGACTTGGGCACATGGGCTGAAGGGTGTTCCTGTCATGGCTTCAGCCGAGGAAACTGCCAGCTCAAAGGGCGACGGTCCGCGGAATGCGCAGCAGGAGTGTACGACGACTTTCTGGACACCACGCTAGCAGTGGCTTCAAGCTTTTTCGCAGTGGCAGTTGCTGGCCTTGCTCCCGAAGGAGATGAGTGGAACAACTTGCACTCGGATTGGAACTGCGCCTTTGACGTGATTGCAACAGAGGTAAGGACCAAATGCGCCCACTGGCGCCAACTTCCCTGGCTGCTGTGCGGGGTCTCGCTACCAGAAGAGGAACACGCCCGTGCCATTGCTCGCAAGGCCATTCGCCTCCACGACGACGAGTCAAAGATGGATGCGCTCACGCTTGCAGGGCGCAAGCACCCGCTGTCCCAGCGCTTTCTACGGTACTCCTTCACGCCTGCGGATGGCGACCCTGACGCCGTGCCTTTGAGGCCGGGCGCGCCCAAAGAGAGTTGCGGACGTTTCCTTTGTAGGTGGTTACGGTGCGTTGTGGCATGTCCAGAGGATGTTTAGATAAAGAGAAAGAAAATATAAGGAGGAAGAGGAAGAGAAAGATA